GAAGGGGGGGTGCGTGGGGCGGGGGGCGCTGAGCCGCCTGGGCGCCTGAGTGCACAGGCCACACTTGCCCCCGCTCCAGGTCCCGGGATTTTGGAGAGCACTGCTGAGGGCCTTCCTCCTTCTGTGCTTTTTTTCTTTCGAGAAATACCAAAAATTAGTCTATCGACTGTGTTTTCAGACTCTAAAAGACAAAGAGGGGAGTGGAGAGTGGTTTGGGAAGACAGTGTCAGGGTTGTCAGCTGACCTGCAAAGGAGGTGATATTGCTGAGTCCTGAAAGACCAGGAACCAGCCTTAGCAGCCTTTACCCAGTCCCAGGGCGTTACTTACATGAGGAACGAGGTTCAGAAGGAGGGTGAGCTGCGAGGGGTAGGGTATGAGGCTGCAGAGGTACCAGCGATCTCTTGGGCCTTTAAAGGGGGTTTGGATTGTAGTCTAAACATGCGCTAGGAAGCATGATTGGTGGTGTGTGTGTGTGTTTTATTTAAATTCAACTTTTTTATATATTTTATTTTTATTGATTTCAGAGAGGACAGGAGAGAGAGTTAGAAACATCAATAATGACAGAGAATCATTGACCAGCTGCCTCCTGCACGCCCCTAACTGGGGATGGAGCCCACAACCTGGGCATGTGCCCTTGACCGGAATCAAACCTGGGACCCTTCAGTCCGCAGTCCGACGCTCTATCCACTGAGCCAAGCCAGCTAGGGCAGCATGATTTGTTTTATACCTTTAAAGATCAGTGTGGCTGCCAAAGTGGGAGAGTACGTTATGGAGGGACACAGAGACCAGTAAGGAGGTGGTTCTAGTTGTCCATCCATTCAGCAGATACTTGTCATGTTGGGATACAGGAATGATGAGAACAGAACACCTGCCCTCTTAGCACCTTCAGTCTAGTCTAGACTACAGTGGTGCCTTGAGCTGTTGTGGGTGGGGAGATGGAGAGAAGCTGTGAGGGTGCAGTGCTCATGGGGAGGGGGAGCCTGCAGGACTGACTGGTGGCTGCTTCAATGTTGTTAAATGTATGTTATTTTTGAAACAAACTGATGTGGAAACAAAGCTACCATATAAAAGGAAATGTGACAATTCCCTACCTAGTAAGTGAAGTCTAAAAAATGAAAAAGATAACTTACAGCCTATATGACAAGAGATTAGTAACCTTTATATATGTCTGAGCACTTATATCAGTAAGAAAAATTGGGGTGATTTCAGAATAGAAAAGTAGACAAAGGACACAAAGAAGGAATTCTTTCAAAAAGAAAACCAAATGGCCTGGTATAGAAGTTAAAATACTAACAGGTGGTTTCTGCCTAGCAGTATGTCAGAAGTGTTGACAGGGGTTTGGAGAGTCGGGGGTCCTTGTGCATTGTTGGTGGAGTGTAAGGTGTTCTGATTGTCTAAATGTCAAATGCATACCCTTTGACCCATTTGACTTCTGGAAGTTTATCCTAGGGGAATAATTGGGTAACAGAGCATAGTTTAAAAATTCAAAATGTCCATTTTGTCACTGTGATGGTGCAAAATCTGAGTGTCCTAAATTCCACTAATAGACATTTGACCAAATAACTTCTTCCACACCATGGAGTATTACATAGCCATTAAAAAGAATAGATAACATATTCTGGTTAAAAACAATAGATAGCAACATATCCTGGGATGGAAAGATGCCTCAGTGAAAAAAGCAGGAAGTATACACTAGCCACTAGAAGATTCCATCTTTAGGGAAACCTGTGATGGCTCAAAAATTTAGGCCTAGCCCTAACTGGTTTGGCTCAGTGGATAGAGCATTGGCCTGTGGACTGAAGGGTCTCAGGTTAGATTTCGGTCAAGGGCATGTACCTTGGTTGTGGGCACATCCCCAGTAGGGGGTGTGCAGGAGGCAGCTGATCGATGTTTCTCTCTCATCGATGTTTCTAACTCTCTATCCCTCTCCCTTCCTCTCTGTAAAAAATCAATAAAATACATTTTAAAAAAATTTAGGCCTAAAATTGTGTTGGGAAAGCTGTTCACTTCACCTCAGGGATGGAGGTCTGGGAGTCTTTATATTCTACTTTGAATTTCTTATCACTTTTTAACAAGAACAGAAACATCTATTTGAGACAATAGAGCTTAAGAAGAAGACTGAGAAGGTGAAATTAATATGTGTAGAGGCCAGCATAGCCACTGGCACCTGCCAACGAGCCCCATGACAGTTGTGATGTACTGCCCTGTCTTTATTTTGAGGAGAGTGGCATCTGAGGTCTGGACTCCTACTCCCTCCCCATCCAGGGCTCCCTGGACAAGCATCTCTTGCCTGATCTTCCTCCCTCTGGCCACTCTTTCCGACTCATATCTTCTTCCAGCCAGCGTTAGGAAGTAAATCTGATTAGGTCAACCAAGGGCATCAAGCTCTGAGGCCAAGAAGATATTTTTTAAATTTCCTCAAATTATGGTGATCTACACAGTAGTTGACTCTTAAACAAAATAGACTTGAACTGTGTGCCTCCACTTACTGTGGATTTTTAAGTGGACCTGTGCCCTTCAAAGGTCAGCTGTATTTTCCACCCATAGTTGGGAATCCATTTGTGCAGAGGGCAACTTAAGTTACACAGATTTTCAATTGTGTGGTAGGTTGGCATCTGTAAACCCACATTCAAGGATCAATTGTAATTTTTCGCAATAGTTTGGGAGAAAGTATGATCTAGATGTGTATGTGCTAATATGGGACCATCACCAAGGTGTATTAGATGGAAGTAGAGTTTCAGAGTAGTATGTACCATACGCTGTTTGTCCATCTGTGTTTGGGAGCCCGCTGAGGAGGAGGGAGGTACAAGGGCTATGTGAGGTGTAAAGTGACCGGGGTCTCCCTTGCACAGCGATCCCTCTGTGAGAGCGAGCGTGGGAGAGTCCAGGCTGCAAGAAAGCACACCCTAGTGTGGACCCCGAGACAGAGCCCCCCTGCAGACTGGCATCTCCCTCTGGAGGACAAAGACGAGTGACAAGCACCCCTACACGGCTTCCTGCAGTCTATTTGAAGTGAAGTTATTGCACGGCCCTAAGGACTCCGTTTGGCCCAAATATTCCAGTAGGTACCTGGGAGCTTCTGCCTGGCTTGGAACACGGAGCTCAACGTCTCCAGCACTACTTGCCCAACCCTCACCTGCGTTCAGAGTGCCCCACTGCTGCCATGCTCTGAGAGACAGTTTTGTCCACTGCACAGCTTCCGGGAAGCCAAGCACCATTGCCTATTGCTGTGAACAGCCAGGTTGGGCTGTCTCATGCTCTCCTACCAAGGACATTAGCACAGGAGATGGCCATCCTCAGGTCTAGAATTCTCAGGTAAACTTTTGAGTAGTAGCCCTGACCCGTGTGGACATGTAGAGTTAACTAAATGGTTGTGTGGTCACGAACACCTTGTGGGGTCATTTTGTGCCACCCTGGTTGGGTGATGACCATGCATTGCCAGCCACTGGTGCTCACACTTGGCTGTGGCCCACTCGCTCAGTTCCTCTGCACACACAGGTGGGGCATACCTCTGGACCAGCAAGCTGCACCTTCTAGGCTCTCAGGAGGTGAGATTCCAGTTTTTCAGAAATGCACACAGCTACAGAATATACCACCTTGCATAAAAAGGGTTCATGGACTCTTGGCTGAAGAAACCCAAACCCAGGACGCATGGAATTTTGGTCTGCTTCCCTCAAAATTTTTAGAAAATGTGGAATATGTCAAAAGCCATTTTACACATTAGATTCCAAATAGGAGCTGAAAATTAATTTCAACAGTTTAGTTGTTGAGATTGTTAAATTTCACATCTGACCTTGTACTCCAACTGTGTTGAAATGAGGTCGTAATCCAACATGACCTTGTGAGGACATAGCCAATAGGTGGCCATCTACAGGCCAAGGAGAGAAAAACCGACCTGCTGGTAACTCAGTCTTAGGAGTTCTAGCTTCCGGAACTGTGAGAAATGTCTGTTTCAGCCATGCAGTCTCAGTGGCATTTAGACCCCACAAGGTGCTCATGACCACACAACCATTTAGTGGCATTCAGTTCTGGCAGCCCCAGCACACTAATACAGTCACCATCCCAGTGTAACAGCAATTCAAACGAGTGCTCAGCCCCCCTTGTCCCACCCTCCTGTGGGACACAGCAGTTTTGTTAATTAGTGTGTCCCTGGTTTGCTCCACGCTCTTTAGCCTCCCTCCCCATCTTAAAATGCTAAGCTGGTCCTGCTGGTGATGTGAGGAAGTTCATGTGTTCTGTCTGTCCCACCTGTGCAGAACATCCTTCACCTTTGTTTCTTGCCTCCTGCTGGGGGGGAGATGGTCTCGATCATCCTTTCCCCAGTGCCTGGCATGGGGGCGATGGGGACATTTGTAATCGTGTAAACAATCAAAATAAAGTGAAAATAAAATTTTTTAAAGGAAGAGCAGTATATCTCACCTCTGTCCATCCTCAGGTGAATTATTTTTGACTCTTACATAAGACAAAGAGACACTTGATTAAACTCACATTTATTCTCAGCATGCCTAATTCCGTGACAAGCAGGCTTGAGCAAGCTCTGGTCATTCTGGCTTTCAAGGGCAGCGCGTTCAGACAGCTGCCTGCAGTTCTACCTCTTGAACTCCACCTGTGTGTACACCTTGGTGATGTCATGGTACCTGCCTTCAGGGGGCTGGTAGTTGGAGATTGGTGGTGTGTAAGCTGGCCCTTCTCTCTCAAAGGGAAACAAACTGTAGTCCCGCTTGATGGCCTCCTCATAGAGTTCCTGGGATGTGAGTTGTAGCTCCTGCAGAGCTTCCTGCTGGGCCTCAAGCATGGACTTGATGGCTTCCCTCTCCATCTCATGCTCTCGCTGCTTGTACAGGGACCACTTCTTCAGGAGCAAAGCTCTCCGTTCTGCCTCCTCGAAGGAGAGCTCTACCTCAGGCCGCTGTCTGGGAACACAAATCCAAAGTGTGAAGCTGGGAGCACTGCCCTCACTGACCACAGAGTCGGGGACTGCATATGGCCCAGGCATCCTCCCTGCCAGACAGATGGAACTCAGGAAAGAAAGGGACAAATTCAGGAATGGCATGTTGAATGTGGTGGCAGCTGCAACTGACACTAGGAACCAGGGCCATTTGCTTTATGTGGAAATAGGAGACAGTGATCCTGAGGAGATGATAGTAGTACTTCCTCTTTCCCAGGCAGAGACTGCCTTTGGTGAGAGGTGACTCTGGAGAAAAGTGAAACGGTATAATGAAAACGAACACCAAAATCCCAGGGAGTCAAGAGCCTCTTACCAGCCCTGGAGTGCCAAACACCTGCCATGTCCCTTTGTATGGCAAGGTGCATCTTTATACATAGTACACGCTTTTCTAAGACAGCAACCCTGCACACAACACATCCCAACTACAAGCATTTTGCCTCACAAAGCAAGGGCTAAGGGTTTTCTACCATCAGGATGGGCAAGGCCCAAGTTGTCAAAACTACAACTTGCAAAAGAGCAACAATATGAACTTTTGAGCAGTGCTGATAGGAACGAACTCTAGCATCTGGCCTGGCTTATCAAACAATTATTCTGAGTTTCTTTCCCACATTCAGCCATTCAAGAGCACCACCCAGGAATGTTTTTCAACTCCCATGAGACACGATCAAGAAGAGGACTCAGCCCAGGGCCAAGTCAGCCCAAGCCCACTGACCCCCTTCCCATTACTGGCATAAATGGCAAGTAGAACTACCTTTAGGTGATGGAACTCCGCCCTGAGGACCTCAACCCTAGAGGACTCTTACCTCACTTTATCCATGAACTTCACAGGGATAATAAAATCTTCAATGGGAATTAGCTCCTGGCTAGCCTTTTCTAGTCTTCGGATCCTCTTTTTCAAGCGGTCCTTTACAGCTTGGTCTTTTTTAGGATCCACCTTCTTCTTCTTTCTCAGAGGTTCTGCTCTGATGGATAAAGCAAACAAAAAATTTTCCTCTTCAGTTTCACAAACATACTGAGAGGCATGGCGCCAGGTAAAGCACCCCAAACTTGTACTGAACTCTCCACTGGGGAATGAACCACATGGCCCTAACCTCCTTAGCTGAGAGTGGCAGGGAGATGGATGGCTTCCAACCCAGGGTCCTTGTGAGAACTGTTTGGGCACTGTCAACCCAGGAAGGGGTGGGAAAGCTTCATGGGGCATCCGGGTATAAATTAAAGGGAAGTGCTCATCTTTAGTGCTGGAGTGCAGGTGTGCCTTGGGATGGCACTGAAAAGTGGAAATACCAAATTGGTGAATTAGAAGCCAATTACATCTTAGATGGATTTGTGATTGATAAAAATGATTTCAGTAAGACTAAGAGAAAGCATAATAAAAGTGACTGGCCTGTCCCTACTTTGGGAGATTTCTTAACAAATATTCCCATCCTAGAGCATTAACAAAAGTCTTATTTACTCTCAGGAACACATTTCCTATGGTGATAATCTAGTATTAAGAATAATCAAATCCTCTAGCATCAAAGCCAAATTTTGTGAATCAAGTCCCTAGAAAGCATCCAGAGTTCCAGATGGAAAAACTAGTCCTCACACCCTCCCCCCACCCTCCACTTCTCCAGGGAGTCAGAAAGGGAAGGCCCATGAAGAACAGACGTGTATGCGTTGCCCTGTAGAAAAAAACCACAAGAATCCATCCAAAGTAGTTATTTAAACTACTTTTGCATTTAATTTTTGTTTTCTGATTACAGGCACACCAGTATTCCATACAGAGACAGAAAAACATCCAGCTAAATTTAACTGAGAATTTTTGTAAGCTGTTAATGTTGCATACCAAAGAGTGGTCTTGACTTGTTCTGTTCCAGTGCACACCTACCTCCCGCTGACGCCCCCAAAGAGGTCAGGCCCACATTTGAGCTTACCTCGTGGGGATGAGTTCCCAGAAAGACAACAATGAAGCTCGCTGGTGGGTGTCTCTAACCTGTGTCTGCCAAATCCCCAGACGCCTGAAAGAGATGAGTATGTACAAATATCCGATTCTCCCCACTAAACAGAAGGGGGAAAAAATTACAATGCCCTCAAAATCTAAGGCGCTTGTACTAGATGTGAGAGCAAGGTTAATGTGCGAGATTTTTCAAAATCCCCCGTTCACAACCGAGAGCAGTGGGCAGGGTCCCTGCTCGCTCGGGGCCCCGAATTCTCATCCACAGGTAGAGGCGGGGCAGCCCGTTTGTAACTGAGATGTCCGTGGTCAAGGACGGTCAGGGAGGAAGCACAGGCCAGGCCCTGGCAGCCCGCGC